GCAGGTAGATGTTATGACGTAGGCATCCGCTAAGACAGGATTTTGATTCATTCTACCCCCAAGGGGATAATTAGGGGATGAAAGTTTGTATGAAACTTTGTCAATTTTAAAACGATCGGGCTGAGACTTTGCAAGCATAAAGCTACTATGACGTAGGCATCCCCTAAGAAAGGATTTTTATAAATTCAACCCCTAATGGTATAAAATAGAGGATAAATGTTTGTATAAATATTTTTAGAGTTTGTAGGCCCTAATTTTTTACACACGCTAAACAAAAGTAAAGCCGCAAAAACTACACCTAATTAATAATAATACTTACTACTACCCGAGCGAAGCCGCGGGCAAAAGCTAGTGTACTATATATGTACATGCGTGCGAAGGTGGGACGAGTATTACACATAAATGACACATGTTTTTCAAAGTTGTTTTCTTTGGTTTTCTTTAGATTCTTTGGATTCAAAGTTACAACCTATCGGTATTAAGTCGGAGTAGCTAATTACTATGCCACGATGTTCTCAATATATATTTAAAATAAATAATAATCTTAATAATATTATAAACGCGGAAGTTGAGTGTGTATATCTACACGCACTCAATAACTTGTTACTATTATTTATTATAGTAACAAGTTATTAGGATATTTGTTACTCTTTCTGCTAAAAACTACTGAATAGATTTTAATGAAACTTTACAATAATATAGCTTATACATACGACTAACATATAGGCTATCAATTCCATGCAGATGATACCGGGCACAGCTAATAAGTACGTAATAAAACTGGAGATTAAAAACAGCAGCCAGAAACTAGTCATTATAATTTGTCTACATCACATTTCCCTCGTTTTTGCATTTCTCATTGCAGGTCCGCTCCTATTGGTCGTAGCATAATGTTACATATACTATAGCCTTCCTCGATAAATGGGCTATCTCTAAACACTAAAGAAACCCAAATCGGTGCAGCAGATAAAATGATACAATGACACAAACATTATAGAATACTTAAAAAAAAATAAAAAATCTGAATAATAGTTCCGAAGATACAATCTCATAAACTCACAAACTTTACCTATTTATAACTAAATGTGCCCACGACTTCGTCCGCGTGGTGTAGTGACATGGACCATATAATGAAAGAATATTCAATAATCTCAAAATAGCAAAAGAAAAAAGTCATCGTTCTAGCTTCAAAAATGACTATTTTTCGTCCCCATTTTATTTTACCCCCTCAACGATAAAATTTTTACAAACTTTGAATGTTATATTTATTTATATTTAATCAAACGCCCTATTAAGTTTCATTCTTCTAACATTAAAATGACGATACTTCCATACAAACTTTCATCTCCCCTTCCAATGCCTTACAATCCTTTTATTGCATAAAAAAGTAGCCTATATCTTTCCTCCGGGTCTAGACTATCTGTGTACCAAAATTCATTTAAATCGGTCCAGTACTTTTTGTGTGAAAGTGAAACAGACAGACTTACTTTTACGTTTATAATATTAGTAAGAAGTAAGGATATTAGTATAGATAGTTGTGTAGTTGTCTGTATATTGTTGTATGAAATCGATAGTAGTGGGACTCTGGTATGCTAGCGTTAGATTAGAAGTTGGAATAAACCCGGACAAAATGCCATTGTCTCGAAGAATGTACGCAGTTATATAGCGCATTGCCAATATGTACATTGTACATAATGTATTGAAAGACAGTATAAACAAACAATAGGATATACTGTTTTTATGTTAATGCGACGACCTCGGTAATCTAGCGGTCTAGCGTTACGGGTACTAGATAACTGATACAAGTACATAGATTTTTCCACATTTACATACATATTATACATAGAAAACAGCTAGACCGATACTCATGGATACAAATGATTGTGCCGTGCGAGGAATCGAACCCGCGATCATTGGACGTAAAGCGGTGTGCTAGACCACCGAGCTCGTCTAATATCTAATAGTTTTAATAATTGAATGTAACAGAACCTAATGATATATAACAAGAGATACGCACATCTCTTAGCAGGACCGCTTGCAACAACTTTTACTATTTACTATTCACAAAGGATTAGCTCTGAATTTCAAAACAGTTAGGTCTCGTGTCACCATCCACCACGGCTCGTGCGGTCGGCCCCCACCCCGGCTCCTACCCCCCAAGTATACATTAAACATTCAACGAGTTCACATACACTTTAACCCTTATAAATATTCAGTGCACAACGCACACAATCAATTCTTACTCGAAGGAAAAAGTGTTTGAACAGTCGAATAATATCATATCACAAAAAGCGACGTTTGAATGAATATTAGACCATGAAACTTGCGTACGCGATGGAATTTGAACTGGTCTCTTATTTGCTAGCCAAATTACGCGGGCACCAATACTATAGTAAAAATTACAATAGCCGCGAGCATAAAAGCTTATCAAGTTTTACTATCGGAGCAAAAATAGCGACTGAATTCGAAGAAATTGTATTCGAGTCGAGACTAGTGTTGCCAGGTCTGATTTGTTTTAAATCGGTACATGAGGTCGAAAAAATGGGGATTTTTTTGATGATAATGGTATGGTGCACCTGCCTGCGCTACCGGTTTACGCTGGCGGGGCACCAGTGGAGGATGATAGAACGAGAATGAGGTCAGGTCAGTTAGTCCATCGTGATAAATTCATCTGGAATTTATCACGGTTTCTAGGGGAAACCGCATACCTGACTTATAGCAATGGGGTCATTAGTCCAGATTACTAACAATTCCCTTCCACAAAATCGGGATTTAGGGTTGCTGATCGGGATAGCAGGGACGATGGTTTCCAGGGGGAACCGCATGGAGGTAATATGACATGGTGCGTTGCTAGTAATGGGACCATCAGTCTAGATTAAACAAACAATTCCCTTCCCCCAAAATCGGGATTTAGGGTTGCTGATCGGGATCAGGGACGATGGTTTCCAGGAGGAACCGCATGGAGGTAATATGACATGGTGCGTTGCTAGTAATGGGACTATCAGTCTAGACTTCCCCCAAAATCGGGATAGCAATGGGGTCATTATATGACATAGTGCGTTGATAATGGGACTATCACAATTCCCTTCCCCAAAATCGGGATTTAGGGTTGCTGATCGGGATAGCAGGGACGATGGCAGGGACGATGGTGGTTTGGGACTATCAGTCTAGATTAAACAAACAATTCCCTTCCCCCAAAAGGGGGAACCGCGATGGTTTCCAGGGGGAACCGCATGGAGGTAATATGACATGGTGCGTTGCTAGTAATGGGACCATCAGTCTAGATTAAACAAACAATTCCCTTCCCCCAAAATCGGGATTTAGGGTTGCTGATCGGGACAGTAAACAAAAGGGGTTCTTAAGTCTTTATTTTATTGCGTTTTAAACTACTAGTGCAAGTAAAGTATTATATTAATTACCAAAATTTAATATGTATTTAATCTTACATAACAATTAATCAGTCCTGTCTAATCTAAAGACTAGATTATGAAATCAGACTTTAGATTAGATCTGATTAAGAAATCAGACACTTAGCGTCCTGAGGTACATATCGGGACGCGTCCTCAGTCCCCTAAAAATGGGGAAGTCCGCAAATCGGAACACCTGGCAACACTAGTCGAGAACGCAGTGGGGCGGGAATGATAACTTGCAAGTCTACGGCCCAGTGGCTCCGCGATGATATAATTTAATACAAAAACTTGTTAACCCGCTCGCGATTTTACTTCACTAGCTGAGCCTGTGACTTCGTGTTCTTATAACTTTTTGTTTGTAAATGGAATTAAATAAAACTTTAAGTAAAGCTACCACGTTGCATTAGTTATGCGATTTTTCGCATCCACATTGGTTAAGCCGATAAATATACAAATATTCTAATAATCTTTCTGTTCGATTCTATTATGTTGATATGTTATAATAGATATTTTCATACGTACAGTATGTATACATTTTTGATATTTCTTATCAAAATTAGTGCACCGCCAACAATCTTTCTCTGCACCACTCATGGTTGCCTGGTAGATAACGCCGCTAGGTGTTAAGTCTGCCATATGTACACATTGTTTCTGTGCATTGAAGTTAAATAAATAAATAAATATATTTAAATTCAGACAGCGATCAGCTAGTTGTTTTTAAATGTTTTTGTTTATTTATATTATTAACAATCTCTTAATACGATTTATTTTAAATATAAATGCGAAAGTTTGTAAGTATGGATATTTGTTACTATTTCTCGCAAAAACTGCTGAACGGATTTTTATGAAACTTTACAGTAATATAGCTTATACATACAGAATAACACATGGGCTATATTTTTTATTAAAATTTAAAGCGAATGACCGCGGGCGCAGCTAGTGTAATGAAGGTATTTACGTCTCTCGACGTTAAATAGACTATTATATTATTCGTGTTAATACCCAATTAACAATATTTATAACAATATGTCATATTTTTTTCCATACGTTTTATATACGTTACCATACATTTCCTAGCAATCTGCAGACTTCCTCTCTTTTAGTCTTTATTAAGACTGTGTATAATAAATCTACAGCTCAATTAATCACACATTCTACAGCCCATTCATTTTCAGATGTTATTTTGTGAATTTCTTCAATTTTTTTTTATACTACATTGTTGGCAAACAAGCATACGGCCCATCTAATCGTAAATGGTTTCCGTAGATATATATGCTATAGATGGCTGAGATAATAGGGGTGTCACGTGCGCGTTGCCGACCCTTAAGAAACCTTACTATACCCATAATTAGTAAAAAATCACGGGACCTTACCACGTTTTATATTTATTTACTGAGTTCTCGATATTTCAGCAGTGTATCTACCTAAATGTTAAACGTGGTAAGATCTCGTGATTTTTACTAATTATGGGTATAAATAATGACCGCATCAAATTTAAAACTTAATATACCCTTCTTGAAAAGCCCCATGCTGTAGTCTCATGGGAAAATTATTGAATATCTGTATATGTTATGGTTAATTTTGTTGCAGGTGCAAAACAAGTCCACTGTTGGCGGCAGTCCTTCCTGGCTATCATCGTGCTATTTCAAATGGATCTTATAGTTTGATTTTATTTATAAACCTGAATATTTGTTATTGCATTATTTGACTTCTATAATAATTATAAATATATAACAATTTCGTGAATTGTCACACACAACACAGACATCAGGCTTGGATCGATGAAAAAATTGTTAAATTTACATTTGTTAAAAAGTCCATTGGCATATTTTTTTTTTTATTGGATTGCTTGGGCTATTGTCAGATGTGTAGCACCTGTAGCACTGCGACCTACATAGATCTATTGTGCTCGCCCTTTTCAGAGTTCGCTACCTAGACCCTTCAGGGACAAGAATTGAAGGATATTCATAGGAGCGATCGTTTTTTTTATATACATCATCAAAATGTAAACTTTCCAAAGGAGATATTTCGTTTACAAGACAAACCACATAGGATGTGAATCTTCAGCTCTTCTCTTCAATTTGGCAGAATTAAATTTAAATTTGTTAAATCTATATAATTATAGAATATTTAGTCTTGAAAGATAATTTTTTTGTTGTTGTATACATCATCATAATCAGCCCACTCCAGTCCACTGTTGGACATAGACCTCTCACAGGCACACCACTGAGTGCAATCTTCAGCCATTATCGTCCAGTTATCCGCAGCCCTATGTATGCCGTCGCTCCACCTGGCTGCATGGCGTTCTACGATACATACTGTTTTAAATTTAATGCATTTATAATTTATATGGACAATTAGGAAAAATTAAGGTTGTTACCACATTTTTTTTTTCGAGTTTCCGATATGTCAGCGTAGTTTCAACCTCCATGATCACAGGTAGACTGTCTACCATCTACTCGCTGCTCTTCTTGATATTTCAGCATACCGGCATATCGGAAACATTGTCGAAATATGATGCATTCAATAAAATAAAAATGTGGTAGATTTTCCTAGTCCTATGCTATGTTTGCCAACTCGCAGTCTCCACTCTAAAACACGTCTGCTCCAGTAACCATCGGTTCTACGACAGATATGACTAGCCCATTGCCATTCGTAGATCTATGTCGGTGACCTTAGTCTGTCCCTGAGACCTGTCTTATAATCTATATATATAAAAATTACGAGTTACGTTGTTTGTCCGTGATGGACTCCTATACTACCGAACTGATTGCAAATTTGATTTGCAACTTGAAAGATAGGATAGCTTACATCTCAATTTATAGTTGCAATATTATTTTATTGCCTTAGCCACAGCAACGCGTGGCCGGGTCTGCTAGTAGTATATAGACATTAGTTTTTTAATTATAATTTTGTCCTCGATTGCGCCGATCGGATCTCTGTGTTGTGTTGCCATATCACAAACGTTGTGGATAGTACAAAACTTTGTTTTAATGTTACCAAAGAGTTGCTTTAGTGCCACCTTGTACACGGCATAGCGTATTTATACTATCAATATGTTTTACTCTAGCATTGTGAATATAAAGTGGAACATATCATCCTTAGTCCTTGTGTCATATCCTGAAAGATTGAGAGTGAGAATTTTATATTTATATAAAGGAAAGTTAAGTTTATCTCGCAGTAAGGAGATGAGTATGTCTTTAGTCAGATATATACAAATAAGAAAAATTTGAGTGTCTGTTTGTAATTTTAAATTATGACCTGAATGCATATTAATGTATTATTATTTCTTTATTTATTCTCTAGCACACGAAACTGTACTTGTACATGACCTACTTGTTGGTTATATATGTTGACTATACCGGGCAACTGTCGCGCTGATCAGAGGTAATAAGTATATACATAAATGTTTTGTTTGTATGCTCTATTTGTTCTTGCTAATCTCTGAAACGGCTGGACCGATTTTGACGTGACTTTTACTCTCATATAGATAATTTATAAGGAACTACTTGGACTTAAAAAGATATTCAAACTTCTCTATTAATGCATACTAAATATTATTTCCTATGAAATTGATTTTTAAACTGAATATTAAAAAATATATGTAGTTACATATACTCATCTCTTTACATTAAAAATACGGATAGTCCATAAGAATAATATTAAATAATTTTATTTATTTTATTCATTCATTCATGTACCTATACTATACCGATAAAGTATGTCAGTACATCCCTCAGTAAAGAGGCATATTACACTATCAAAACATATATATAATTTTATAATATATCGATTCCCTTTTCTTTTATTCATATTATAAATTTATTACATTTAGATAATACATTTATACAAACAATCACAAAAAATAATCAATCAAATCAAACGCGGCACATCGAGGCAGCGTACCCAAGATACTGGCAGCGTTGCCTCTTTGAATGGCCATACTTAGCCTGTGGGCAAAGTAGCTACCAGCTCTCTGGTCACAAGTAACCTCGACGAGCCACACTAAAATTGTTTACCTTCATTTGTTAATATATTAAAAAAAAACACAACAAAATACTAGTCACAAAATCATATAAAAGCGTATAGGTTATATTAGTCAATTTCTAGACTGAATCTGGATTCCCAAAGATATGGTAGAATAAAAAAAACAATTAAAACATTCTAAAAATTAGTTCATATTAATATCGCCGACCCCAAATAATGGGGTAAATGTAAGCCAATGATTTCGATTACCATTTTATTCATATTTTGAACTTGTTATCCAGTTACGTAAAAAAAAGAAAAATATACAATTTGATGTATGATTTTTTCGTTATTTGGAAACTAGTCAAATGACTTTTATATTTTTATTCATCCTAGTAAGTAATGTGCTTTTTATGGCTGTAATTGTTTAAAAAAAGCAATAAATGTATATTAATTTGTATGGGATAATATACACAGCGACATCTAGTTCCAAGGGAAGCAGAGCTTGTGTTATGGGTTCTAGTCAATTGATATAAATACAAAGATATATTCTTTTTCTAAATGTGAGTGATGAAAGCACCAAGATGGATACAAACATACTTATGATTACAAATGTCTACACTGTGCGAGGAAACGAACCCGCGACCATCGGAAGTAAGGCGGTGTGCGAAACCGCTAGACAACCGGGGCCGTCATAGTCAGATTCAAATTCTTATCATTGTAATTTATATTTTAATAATTAAATATAATCTATACATATATATAAAATTTAATGTCTGTTTGTAATATTGAAATAACCGTTTTTCACTACATGCATATGAATATAAAAACGGTACATACACCAAAATAACATTCTTTACAATTTTTGTCTGTCTGTCTGTCTATATGTTTGTTCCGGCTAATCTCTGAAATGGCTGGACCGATTTTGACGGGACTTTTTTTGACAGATAGCTGATGTAATAAGGAATAACTTCGACTACTTTTATTAAAGAAAAAATTAAGTTAAATTCCATGCGGACGAAGTCGCGGGAACAGCTAGTAGTCAATAAAATTACATATTTTAATTAAATAATGCAGCACCGCATTCTAATTACTGTATCTAATTTTATCATATACATTTTATTTTCATTGTAGCTATATCGTTAATATAGCTTTTATGTGCGAATTTTGTAGCAACACAGACGGGCGACTTTTTGTCGCTTAGAATATCGTTGTATTTATTTATATAATTTCATTACAGACTATTCCAGTTTGATATAATATGATTTTCTTACCAGATAAATAAAAAAAAATATACATATAGATACCCTCGTTTCCAAAGCCTAATTGTCTAGATGTTAAAGAAAATTATATAGACAGGGACACAGTTCCGAATATATTTGCAACATGAAACTTGTAATATCTCGATTAACATCTATTTGAAGTTTAAAAAGATGGCTGATCAGTAAGTGTTTTTACTCTGTTGATGAGTACTTTAATTCATGAAGTAGGTAATCGTAGTACTTTGCCCAGAAATTTAAATTTAATTTAATAATGATGAAAATAAAAATGAAACTGAGAAATATGTATAATCTTATAATAATAAATGGACACTGTTAATTTTTGCAATAATTTTTAAAATCCTGTAAACCACTTTTCAGGCAAAATAAAGATATTTGTATTTGTATTTGTAAAAAAACATCATAAAATTGCTACAATTTGAACTAATATAGCTTTCAGTCGCTTTATCAAGCTATGAAAGCAGTAAAATGTCGCGACTAGAAATTGCTTACATACGGTTTTAAAAGTTTTGTGAATATGGCCTAAGGCGCCAAACTATACAGCTATATAGTTACGTATTCGTAATCGTATACATTATGACTTTTAATATATTAACTACAACCCGCCCCGGCTTCGCAAGGGTGTACATGTAGTGTACATATAAATCTTCTTCTTGAATTACTTTATCTATTGCATAAACTGCATTGAAATTGCCTAGTATATCTTCTTAGTATCTTCCTATACTATCTTCTTCTTCTCGAATCCATGACCACCAGGAATATCTTCCAACCAAAACTCTCCAGGCACCTCTATCCTATGCCAAATCCTCGCCGACTGCATACTTTTCTTGACAGTATGTCGAACGGAATTAGGCCACCGTGCAGGTGACAAACTTCTCCCCTTCTTATATAATGATATAGATAAACGATGATTGCCGGTTCGATTCCTCCCACGGCACAAACATTTGTATTAATGAATATGATTGTTTGTATCGGTCTGAGTATTTTCTATGTATAATATGTACGTATGTACGAAAAATATCTATGCATTTATATCAGATATCTAGTACCCATAACACAAGCCTTAGCTATTTTAACTTGGATCTAGACGGCACTGTGTGAATTGTTCTAAGATTATTATATTATTATACTAGCTACTCGCCCCGGCTTCGCCTGAGTGTACATGAATTATACATATAAACCTTCCTATTGAATCACTCTATGTATAAAAAACCGCTTCAAAAGTTATAAAGATTTAAGCATACATAGGGACGGATAGACAGCGACAGCGACTTTGTTTTATACTATGTAATGATGTATGATATAAATTGAAGTTTGGTGCGATTTAAAATCGCCCGTCTGTGCGAAACAACTCGGGTTAGTAAAAGTGGGATAGTTGTGTTATTCACGACTCGTTAACCCTTACCCTACTTGGTAATGGGGGCATCATTACTATTCTAAATTACGTACGATAACGTACAATGTCCTTCCACGGGTACAGATTATGTAGTATATTTTGGGGCGCCACACGAAATGTAATAACAAAATATTATTACATTAAAATAGTACATAAACATTTTATACACCAAATAATATTGAAAATTTAATTTAAAGTTTTTTTACTTAAGAGTTTATATAATACTTGCTACTCGCTCCGGCTTCGCACGGGTGTACATGTATTATACATATAAACCTTCCTCTCGAATCACTCTATC